CACATATATATATATATATATATATAAATATAGCAGCATGAGAGTGTGCGCAATGACATTTCACTGTTTTTGCTTGTCCGTTTTGGCGCACTCCAATCGAGTGACTATCTCTTATTGGTTGCGCTCGTGCGATGTGAGGGATGGGTTGGTGGTATGAGCGAGTGTTTAATCTCAGAGGTGTGTTGTCTGCAGCGTTTCGAATTGAGTGTCCCTTAAGCAGAAGACGATTGTCCGAGATATATGAACGCCTGATCAAAAATAGTGGTACGATCACCGGATAGAAAATAGTGATAAAGAGATGTGCGGGTTGTTGTGGTCCATAGGGTATGTATGCCACTACACACACCACTGACATACACAACTACAAACAATGAGGTACATACAGGGTCATGCGAGTGTAGAGATGCCACACATGATAAGTAGTCCCAGGAGATGGCCGTAGAACTTACATACATCAGCGAGTACTACAAAGTACGTGTGCCGTACATAGTCGATATTGACCAGTGTGCATTGACTGACACCTAACAGCTAACCTGCTCATCGTAATAAACGTACCTGTCTGTAAAGGCATGCGACTAACACTTAACAGCTAACCTGCTCATCGTAATAAACGTACCTATCTGTAAAGGCATGCGACTAAGACCTAACAGCTAACCTGCTCATCGCAATAAACATACCTGTCTGTAAAGGCATGCGACTAACACATAACAGCTAACCTGCTCGTCGTAATAAACTTACCTGTCTGTAAAGGCATGCGACTAAGACCTAACAGCTGAGCTGCTCATCGTAATAAACGTACCTGTCTGTAAAGGCATGCGACTAAGACCTAACAGCTGAGCTGCTCATCGTAATAAACGTACCTGTCTGTAAAGGCATGCGACTAACACATAACAGCTAACCTGCTCATCGAAATAAACGCACCTGGCTGTAAAGGCATACGACTAACACATCACAGCTACCCTGCTCATCGAAATAAACGTACCTGTCTGTAAAGGCATGCGACTAACACATCACAGCTACCCTGTTCATCGAAATAAACGTACCTGTCTGTAAAGGCATGCGACTAAGCGGCCGTTTGGTGAGATGTCCAGCTTAGTAACCTCCTGCGCCTCGCCCGTCATGGCTGTGGGGAAGCGTAGGAGATAGTTGAGGGGTGTATAAACACGGTACATGATGTGTCTAGTGATGATTTATTAGTGACTATACTGATGTGAGGGTAGGTAGGGGTGGTTTGTGAGGATGTATATATCTTGTGTGTTAGGTATGTAGTAGTAGTTTGTGCCCATACAGCCCTTGTATGTGATGCGTAGTGATGGTTTGTGAGGATGTATATATCTTGTGTGTTGGTGTGTAGTAGTAGTTTGTGCCTATACAGTCCTTGTATGTGATGCGTAGTGATGGTTTGTGATATGTTTATATCTTGTGTGTTGGTATGTAGTAGTAGTGTGTGCATATACACCCTTTGTATGTGATGCATAGTGCACTCCACTATAGACCACACCCCTTAGCAATCAGCCAATCAGACGACGCCTACAGCCTACTCACCTGCACCTTTGATCTCCAGTTTTAACTTGAAATCAGGATAGCTCCATATTTTAATGTCTCCGTCAGAGCCACCGGTCGCAAACATCTCCGCACTCCCAAAACGGACCACTTTTTGATACCCGCCCTCCGGCCCTAAATCGGTAACTGCCTCTGTTTTAGGCTCGAAGTATTTAACTGGACCTTCTTGCTCCTGTGGAAAGTGGTTGATGTGGTAGATGTCGGCGTTATGTAGTGTGTACTATAGAGAACCTCGGCAGACGTCGCCCAAATAACGGAATTGTATTCCGATTCGTTGCATAAAGCGAGTCTATCTGTGCAAATAAACGTATGACATAAACAAACGGGACATATCATGTGCTATCACGTGCAAGCAAGCTGCACTCGTTACCTACGCACGAACCACCACGTATATTACTATATAACCACAGAACGACACACACACGCACACCACCTGGCACAGAAGTGAATGCACACACACACACACACACACACATAGGTGACAAAAACATCCACACAGCATGCGTACAAATGTTCACAAGTGAAACCCACATTGCGTGAAATTTCACCCACACGACAACACCATTACTTGAGAATGTATGGCACACGGAGCAGCCCACCGAGCACTAGACACCCCTTCTATGTCACCACCACGACAGTGAGAACGGCATGCATTTCATCGTATAGAGATAATATACACATTTAACGTTTGTCGGTACCATACACATTTAACGTTAATATGCTTGATAGAAGTACTAACAACTGTAAAACAAGTGTACGTGTTAAATGCACCACACTCGAAGAGCGTTCATCAACACACCTCTTCTTCCTTAGTCACCTCTGTGACCTTCTCATCGTCGTCCTCATCAAACGTTTTGCAGAACGGCGTGAGGTTGTAGATACGACCAATCCCATCCAGCCCACATACCAGTGAGTTCCCCTTTGGATTGACGCCAATGTTAGCCACCGCATGCACACCTGTGGAGATACGCGCGAGCATCTTACCCTTGTTGAGATCGTGGACTTCCTATTTACGGCATCGAAGTTGGGTTGGTGAATACTAGAGTGTGGATATGTACATAGAAGCAGAAATGACTACACAAGTATGTGTAAGCAGAATTGTATATTGTTGTTATTTACTGACAGTGAGGTGAGCTAGTGTCCAAATTATTCACACACAAAAAAACAAAAGAATATCTCGTAATGGAGACACATAGCCTGTTACTAAATGCCTATTTCGATTCGGTACCTATATATAAACGAGAAAACGCATCAGAATAAAAATATTCCATAGTTCTATACAAGCAAGCTAGATGTACAACACAATGTGACGTAATAGGCAAAAACATTCGACCCAATATGGGTACGTAAATCTCC